AAACACAAAGGACACAAAAGATGTAACGAAATAAAGATACGTCATATCTTATTTTTTTTATTGCATACCACTTGTTGTTAATTTAGTATAAATTTCGATGGCATCGAAGACAAGCAGCGTATCCTTTACCATCTCTAATAAAGGCAATCTTCTGCTAATTTTAAACGATTGTATGTATCGAGTAAAAAGAGAAACAGTATTAAAAAAATATTGGATTTGTGAAAGAATTGGATACAATACGTATATACAAAAAGGTTTTTGAAATCGATGCCTATCTATTGTTTGATGACTTCCCATTCGCCATAGTCAAACGAAAGAAAGAAATATTTTCTTTTTATTAATTTTATAACTAATTATGTTTCATTCATTCCATTTTTTGATTTACTTAAAATTTTATCAGACAATATAAAATCTTCATCTTAGCAGTCTAAAAATATTAAAATAAATTTTTTCGCTATTTTTTCCATTCGGCATTTTTTCTTCGCTCATTTTTCTTCGCTCTTTTATCGTTCGCTCTTTTTTCTTTCGCTCATTTTGATACATACCTCGAAAACGATCTGCCACATTTGCAGTCACGAGCAGAAGATGATCAGCTGATTTGTGCTATACTCTTCTATTTACATTTCATACATTTAGGCTATTACTACTGATAAAAAGTTTTAGATCTTAACAATTATAAATGAAGACTCCTTTTGATTAAATCGCAAATAAAACTAATTGGGATAGTTAACAAGAAAGTTTACCTGAACACCAAGAATACCAAATATAATGAAAAAAGTGCAACAAATAAGAACAATATGACCAATCGGTCTTAATGATGAAAGTAACGTTTGCACGACAAGTTTAAGACCAGGTGCTCGACTGATAACTAGAAATAAACGGTGGTAATGATAGATAAAAACAAAGAAATTCAACAATAAAATTTGTTTTTCTGACCTCTTAGTGGTCTTAATGTTCGGAATAGACGAAACACTCTTAACATACTACATATATGTGTTGCTGTTTCTGATTCGACATGTGATGATGTTACTGTTCCACGATGCATCATAGCAAGATCAATAATTGATATGATAACAAGAGAACCATCTATAACATTCCATCCACTACGTAAATACGAATTTTCTTCACATATAAGTCCACTTGCAAGAATTTTCATCATCATTTCAATTGTAAATATAATTGTAAAAATAATATTTGTTATATTTAAAAATTGTCTTTCCTAAAACAAAAGTATTAGGCAATCATTTTTGTGTACTCAAAAAAAAAAGAGTACACTATAGAATCGGTCAGTGTGTCCGGCCGTCCGTTTATTCGATAACTCTTCAACTTTCAAGCTCATCAT